TGTTATTCCTTTAGCACGCATTTTGTGCGCTATTACGCCATGGTCACACTTGTCGAAGGCTTTTGCAAAGTCTGTATATATTACATCTGCATTCTTTTTGTCTTCTAGTGCATCTAGGACCTTGTCGTAGTGATCCAATAGTTGAGACAGACAGGAGCGACCTGTTCTAAACCCATGTTGCCCTGGGTTGTGTAACTGATGGGTTTCTAGATGGGTGGTGATCTTGCTTCTTATGATTTTTATGATATGGGATGTTAGTGCTATCGGTCTGTAGTTCTTTGCTGTTGCTTTACTGCCCCCTTTGTGGAGTGGGGCTATGTCTGTTGTTTTTAGTAACTGTGGGACGACCCCAGTGTCCATGCTCCCTCTCCATAGGATGGAAAAGGCTCATGATAGGGGCTTCTTGCAGTTCTTGATGAATACGGAGTTCCATGAGTTTGTGTGTATGTGTGTAAGTGCTCTAAAAACTCAACTAGACTTAACTAGTGACTGACTAAATCCTCACATCAACTAACTTCTTGACCACCTGGCAATCAGAACAGCTTGCTGGAACAATAAAACGACTGATAAGCCGAACAACAATATAACGAGCAACAGCGACACAATCAGGATCAAGAAGATAATATAACGACACTAAGTAGGGACCATCTGCAGATCCTCCACAAAAGTCACAAAACTCCCATACTACTGAATCTAAGTTCAGCATTAGAAAATCCCCAACTGTGACAGTACACAGATACCAGTACAAGTTAGGTCAGAAACTACAGCTCAGGACCTGAGTTGCTCAGAGTGTCTGTGCGACACAACCTCAGTACAGTGTCGAAAATCACTAAGTCTAGACAACATTCTGTGAACAGAGTTCTACAGAACCAACAACAAGAAAGCGACAGAGACGATCTTCCAACAAGGGCCAATAAGGGAGAGTTAGGCACGTCTTGTCAGGAATACGTCCAACCACCAAGAGAGGCTAGCCCAGACTGACTACTCCAGGCGAGGTGTGACCCCCCCCCCCCCCTTGATCATGTGATTGCTCCGTGGACAGTTGCTGCCCAGCAACACCGAGAAGCCGGCAGGGAAACGAGCAACGAGCGATAATTACAGTAGTTAGACAATCAAGACTTGAACTATGAGCTATATATAAATGTTACATCCTACCTAATAATATAACTAAGTCAAATAATAATACAAAGCAATATATTTACGATTTAGCTATTATTGCAAATACAAGCAACATAAAATTATATGAAAAGGTAATATACATTATATACATTGTGACCCATTCAGGGGTCGCAACAAACCTCCACAAGGAATTTCACATATCTCGACACTTTCTCTGTGATGGTGTGTGGTGAATTTCCATATAGTGGATGAAGTGATGACTGATACTTTGCTTTTGGCATGGTTTAGTAACTCTGTGATATTGATAGGCATGTTAACCCTTACACTTTCTCCTTTATGTAGATCTAGGTCATTGATGTCACTGTCACTTGTTGAGATTTATGTCTTAATCATAGCACCCTCAGTTATACAGTGATGGGTAAATTTTTTTTTGCCTAGACATTAGAGAATGGGTTTGCTTGGTAGGTGTGCAGGGTATTAAAAAAAATCCTGCCTCACACAGTGTATGATGGGAACAGCTAACCTTTAACCTTGTTGAGTCTGGCTTTAAATAGCAACTTTGAGGTATATTCTAGAATGATTTTCATGGTTTATTGGCTGTTTCTCAGTATCCGTTGATAGAATGGAAGACATACTAGTCAAATGGTGATGATTTTGGTTGATTTCAGACTGGAAGTGGCTTGAAATAGGCCTCAAAATGGCGGAAATATTTGATTTTCGGCGATTGTCCTGACGAAGGGTAGGGGCCCAGCTACCACTCCCACCCAATCGTTTTTTTTGGGTTTTTACTAGGTCTGCTTCAATTAAAGGGATAACCTAAACTGTACACAAATAACCTGCAGATAGGAGAGAGGAGCTTATGACGTTTCGGTCCAACTTGGACCATTTGTGTATTGTTCCTTTTTGTTATTTATAACCTAAACTATGACCAATCATTCTTAGTTATATTATATTAAGCTGGGAAATAGGATAAAACTTAGATTTTTTTTGCGTGATGATAGATTCAAAATGAAGGGGAAGGGGGAGGGGGCAAATGTTATGGAGAAGAGGCCTGGAGATATGAATAATGAACAGAGAAAATGTTGCTTTATTGGCTGGAATTCTTACAGGGTTTATTTTGTACTTTGTACTTAATTATTGAATTCTGTACACTATAGCATAATTCTGATAGTGTAATGGGAAATTTAATTTTCTTAATCTATAGAACAGAAGGCCTTACAGCAGATGATATTCCTATGATATGCCCAAACTGCCAACCTTGCATCTATGTATTTCCATTTTACCAGGAGAGTTTTCATTTTGGTATCATTGCCCTGAATAAAAGATTCTCTACCATTATAGTATTTTTTTTTTTTTTTGAGGACTTGCAGAGTACTGTATAAAACAAATTCCAACCACACAATAGAGCAAAAAACTAATGTGAAGGACTTGTGAGTGACAGTATCAGAGGATCTCACTTTCAGAGATCAACAGTGTTTGTATCACATCTGCTAAGAAAATGATAGGATGGATAATGAGAACCTTCAAAACTAGGGATGCCAAGCCCACGATGGTTCTCCTCAAATCACTTGTTCTATCTAGGCTGGAATATTGCTGTACATTAATGGCCCCTTTCAAGGCAGGTGAAATTGCAGACTTGGAGAATGTGCAGAGAACTTTCATGGCATGCATAAATACAATAAGACACCTAAACTACTGGGAACAGTTGAAGTCCCTTAATTTGTATTCCCTGGAATGCAGGCAAGAAAGATACATGATAATATACACTTGGAAATTCCTGGAGGGACTAGTTCCAAATTTGCACACCAAAATCACTCCCTATGAAAGGAAAAGACTGGGCAGGAGATGCAACATCCCCCCACTGAAAAGGAGGGGTGCCATGAATGTAGTAAGAGACAACACAATAAGTGTCAGGGTCCCAAGGCTATTCAGATGCCTTCCAGCATACATAAAGGGGATTATCAATAGACTCCTAGCTGTCTTCAAGAAGGCATTGGACAGGCACCTAAAGTCAGTACCTGACCAACTGACTGTGGTTCGTACGTCAGTCTGTGTGTGGCCAGCAGTAACAGCCTGTTCGATCAGACCCTGATCCACCGTGGCCTGGTCATAGACCAGGCCACGGGGGACATTGATCCCCAAAAGCCTCTGCAGGTATAATCCAGGAGTTGCAACACTGACAGGATTTTTATTTTTGGGGTGATGGCAGTGGAAGGGTTAACTGTGGGGATGATTAACCCTTTCAGGGTTTCGGCCGTACTAGTATGGCTTACGACCCAGGGTTTTTGATGTACTAGTACGCCTAAATTCTAGCGCCCTCAAATCTAGTGAGAGAAAGCTGGTAGGCCTACATATGAAAGAATGGGTCTATGTGGTCAGTGTGTGCGGTATAAAAAAAATCCTGCAGCACACAGTGCGTAGTGAGAAAAAAAAACTTTGACCATGTTTTTGGATTAAAACAGCGACTTTGCACTGCATTTTCGTATTCTAGCTTTCCTGGTCTCATTTTATAGAATGGAAGACATATTACAGAAATTGAGATGATTTTGACTGGTTTTACAAAGAAAACTATCTTGAAATTGCACTCAAAGTAGCAGAAATGTTCGATTTTTTCCAAAGTTCAAAAGTAAACAAATTATGCTATGCGTCCAATACACGTCAACTGGTGAGTTTAATATTCTTTCACAAGTGCGCTGATAATATTTGTACCATTTCTACACCAATGCAGTAGTTTGCATAACAGTAAATCTTCTATTTTTTTGTGAGAATAAAAATTCAAAGTGGAAAGCAAAAGAATGTAAGAGGGGCATGGGGACGTGACTAATGAACAGAGGAAATGTTATTTTAGTGCCAGGAATGTCTTTCTTGTTTATTCTGGACCCTATTCGGAAATTGGCATCTTTTGAAATTTGTGTGAAATTGGCAAAATTGCTAAATTCTGACCACTGTATTGGATAGTTGAAATCGGTAAATGGGTGGTTTCTTGTACTCATTCGATAGAAAAAATGGACTTCTAGTGAAATAGTTATGATTTTTGTCGACAAGTACACTGGAATTGGCCAAAAATAGGGCTCAAATTGGGCAAAATCATCGATGCGTAAACATCGTCGAGACCGCTAACTTCGCGAGAGCATAATTCTGTAAGTTTTCCATCAAATTTCATACTTTTAGTGTCATTATGATTGGGAAAAGATTCTCTATCTTTTCATAAGAATTTTTTTTTTTTTTTTAAATTTGGCTGACCCTGAGAACAAGTCTCTGAGAGGGCCTGTCGACCCTGAAAGGGTTAAGTATGTATCTGTCATTGTTGTGCTTGGTTTTGGATGTGTTGTGTATCTTAGTTGCTTTTCTTTTGTGGTTTTGTATAAAACTTGCATAACCACTTTATGAAATGGTGTGGGGCCAACCTATTGAAGAGGGTGATCAGTTCAAGAGGAAGTGTTTAAAACTTCTCTCATCACAACTTGCAACACCATTATTCAAAACCAAGGAAGTTTTCAGTTAGCTAATCTTCTGGCAATACAGCTGTTTAGAAAAGCATATTGTTGTGGCCAGCCATCAAATAGTATCTTTGTCCTACTACTATACCTCATTCCCATGGAAAAATACACATAAAAATAGACTAATTTTTTTTCCTACACAGTGTAGTTGAAACATAGTCCATGAAGGATCACATTATATTAGATTTATGTCTGTTTCCATCATGTCAGTATTTTATACCATTTATGTCCACCTCATTGCCATACTTAACTTTTCCTTCTCCTGCCTATATTCCACAGTATTATATTCTCCTTAGGTATATCTATTGAGATTGTCTTTAATATAGGTTCCTAAAACTACGTTTTTTATTTTTTCTTACTTAATGAACCTACACATTTCAGAGATGAGAAGGGTCGCTCACACCTCCTCCAAGTCAGAATTGGGTCAGGATATCCTCAGGAACCACCATGTGTTGAAGCTGATATGCCATTGGGCCTTAAGGTCTCCTGGAATTCTGTACGTTGATGATACTCTTGAGACTAGATATGCAGTTTTGGTATTTTGTTGGTGTAGAGTAGAGAGTCAGAGTGCAGTAACAAAATGCTGTTCAGCAGCTTTTGTTGTAGCCTGAATTCATGTATGTTGACTTTACTCTTTTTTCTTTTTTTTTCATTACTTTTTTCAAGTTCAACTTCAAAAATCTCTATTTTCTCTCCTGAGGTTGAAGGATTATCCTGCATCGTCTCTGCCTGGGAAGATCAGTTGAAAAGTTTGCAGCTGTTCTGGGATGTCCTCGATGAATTGGATGAAATGGTGCTGGTGTTGGATCCTCAAAATCCTACACGAAGACACACCACTCGCAGAATTCTACTTAGTAAGAGCCAGTCTCCTTTGAGTGTTTTTTTTTTTTTTATTTCCTAACAACATATTAGCCTATGCTTTACTATATTAGTTTTACTTAAATATTTTATTGACTGTTCTTTTATTATTTTTCTTTATTATTTTTATTATTTTATTGTATTTTTTCTTTTAACTCTCTGGCCATCTCTCACTGAGGTAGGGTGACCCAAAATGAAGAAACACTTTCTCCATCATTCATTCTATTATCATCATCATCATCATTATTATTTTTTCAGTAGTATTTGTATTTTTTATTATTATTATTATTATTATTTTTATTATTATTATAGATGTGGAGAAGTGAAGTGCTCAACTTCAAGGGAAAGGGATGGGATAGAGCACCAGGGAATGGGAAGTAATCGGGGTTGGTTCAAGGAAGGAAAGGTAGCTCTATTTCCTTGAATTAAGAGCCTTTCATCATGTAAAAAAAAAAGAGACTTGAGCAATGTCAGAAATGTTTCTCCCATCAGGGGCTTTATTAATCATTGGACTGATAAATCCCCTGGTTGGTGAAATGTTTTTATAATAAAGTTTCTTGATATTACAAAAGTGTCTCTCTCTTTTATACATTTTGTTGCAAAGTGATTGAAGCCATGCAGTTCCAAAATTCCAGTAGCATGTGAAACTCTTGACAATAGCCACTGTAAATCTAAAAAATTAAATAACATGCAAAATTTGGGTAGTACACACTGTAGGTTAATTCACTCTGTTGGGCCACAAGCAGTACTCTCCAGGATCCCACTGCTCTTGCTTAGCAAGAACAGTGGGATGACGTTTTTACATATCTGACTAATTTTTCCCCAAAAATATATAATTTATAAATGCTTAATTTATATAAAATGCATGTATAAAAACTAGGGAAGTGGAGAAAAATCCTTCTTCTGTAAGCCATGCTTGTTGTAACTCCTCCTCTGTATAAATTACTGAATATAAAAAGAAGAAACACTTTTGTTTCTTCTTTTTTTGGGTCACCCTGCCTTGGTGGGAAAGTATAAAAAGTATAAAAAGTTTGAAGAGAATATTCAGTTCACATTAATATCAAGTATCCACCCAAAAGTTTGCTATCATACATTATCATAACTGCTTTGTATACATTCCCATGCATTTTACTGTAATGTGTGTACCTTAGCTGTATATCTGTAATTGTTGAACATGTTGGTGATTGATATTAAAAAAGTGAAAAGGAATTTAAATGAAAAAGTTGTGTATCAAAGGTATGATCTTGACTGAGGTGTAGCTATGACTTGGTCACCTGACTGCCCAAACACATCACACACTCTAGAGAATCCCCACACAATGCTAGGTAAGGCAAATTAATGTTTATCTGGTTGTCTGATAAATGAAGGAGATGTATGAGCAAGTCTCAGCCACCTGCTGCTCCTGTTCACTTTTATTATCAACATATACCATGGAATGGATGGGGTTTGAACCCATGGTGAGTGAGTTGTTAAACTCCAGGACAGTCTGTTTGTTTTGGTTTGGTTTGTTTGCAAATATGTTATGATTTCATGGATCATGATTATAAACATAGCATTAATATTTTGAGAGAGTGGGAGTGGAAGGTTTCAAATTCCCTGCTGAGTCTGACTTTGTTTTGGCTTCCAATGAACATGACATAAATCAAGCATAAATCATGCATAAATCAACCTATATAGTTATTTGGTACAATTTTAAAGGAAATGCAGCCTATATTTTTGTGATATTGACATGTGCTCAGCGTGTCAGCTGATCAACCTCAGTTACATAGAACTCGGCCCAGTAAGTCCACATTAACTACCTTTGCTCTTCAAATGTTTCAAGTAATGACTGACATAATGTGATGTAGGCTGTTCTCTAGTAATTGTTACATAGTACAAGAGTAAGAAAATTTACTTAGCAAATTCCTTTCTGAATTGGTAATAAAGGAATTTTAAGATTTAAGATTTTTATACATTACCTTATTAAAAGTAACATTTACAGTACCGTATTTCAAATTTTGAAAATCATGAGTTTTATTCGGTAATCTTCATCTCAATTTCTATACTAGGCTGGAGGCAGTGGAGATGTCATGTCTGAGGGCAATGTGTGGTGTGAATATAATGCAGAGAATTCGTAGTTTGGAAGTTAGGAGGAGGTGCGGGATTACCAAAACTGTTGTCCAGAGGGCTGAGGAAGGGTTGTTGAGGTGGTTCGGACATGTAGAGAGAATGGAGCGAAACAGAATGACTTCAAGAGTGTATCAGTCTGTAGTGGAAGGAAGGCGGGGTAGGGGTCGGCCTAGGAAGGGTTGGAGGGAGGGGGTAAAGGAGGTTTTGTGTGCGAGGGGCTTGGACTTCCAGCAGCATGAGTGAGCGTGTTTGATAGGAGTGAATGGAGACAAATGGTTTTTAATACTTGACGTGCTGTTGGAGTGTGAGCAAAGTAACATTTATGAAGGGATTCAGGGAAACCGGCAGGCCGGACTTGAGTCCTGGAGATGGGAAGTACAGTGCCTGCACTCTGAAGGAGGGGTGTTAATGTTGCAGTTTAAAAACTGTAGTGTAAAGCACCCTTCTGGCAAGACAGTGATGGAGTGAATGATGGTGAAAGTTTTTCTTTTTCGGGCCACCCTGCCTTGGTGGGAATCGGCCGGTGTGATAATAAAAAAAAAAAAAAAAATGATCTATTGTGATGTTTAGTTAATGATTCTTGGCAAACTGACTATAGCATGTTAAAAAAAGTTTGAAGCAATACAGTTAATAAATGGGTATGCTGTACAAGAAATTTAATTAATACTGTGCTAGAAATGAATGTCTGTAAATCCTGCACAATATGGAAAAAATTAATCTAACTTTAAATATCATTCTGGAAGTATAATAATTTATATCATTGTCTGCCAGTTTTCCTTATCTCGGTATTTCTCTCTCTTTTTTTTTTAACATATAGGCTGTCTCTTGCCTAGGCAGGGTGACCTAAACAGGAAGAAAACTATTAAGTTTTCTTCTTTTTATTATTTTTTTATTATCACACTGGCCGATTCCCACCAAGGCAGGGTGGCCCAAAAAAGAAAAACTTTCACCATCATTCACTCCATCACTGTCTTGCCAGAAGGGTGCTTTACACTACAGTTTTTAAACTGCAACATTAACACCCCTCCTTCAGAGTGCAGGCACTGTACTTCCCATCTCCAGGACTCAAGTCCGGCCTGCTGGTTTCCCTGAACCCCTTCATAAATGTTACTTTGCTCACACTCCAACAGCACGTCAAGTATTAAAAACCATTTGTCTCCATTCACCCCTATCAAACACGCTCACGCATGCCTGCTGGAAGTCCAAGCCCCTCGCACACAAAACCTCCTTTACCCCCTCCCTCCAACCTTTTCCCTAGGCCGACCCCTACCCCGCTTTCCTTCCACTACAGACTGATACACTCTTGAAGTCACTCTGTTTCGCTCCATTCTCTCTACATGTCCGAGCCACCTCAACAACCCTTCCTCAGCCCTCTGGACAACAGTTTTGGTAATCCCGCACCTCCTCCTAACTTCCAAACTACGAATTCTCTGCATTATATTCACACCACACATTGCCCTCAGACATGACATCTCCACTGCCTCCAGCCTTCTCCTCGCTGCAACATTCATCACCCATGCTTCACACCCATATAAGAGCATTGGTAAAACTATACTCTCATACATTCCTCTCTTTGCCTCCAAGGACAAAGTTCTTTGTCTCCACAAACTCCTAAGTGTACCACTCACCCTTTTCCCCTCATCAATTCTATGATTCACCTCATCTTTCATAGACCCATCCGCTGACACGTCCACTCCCATATATCTGAATACATTCACCTCCTCCATACTCTCTCCCTCCAATCTGATATCCAATCTTTCATCACTAATCTTTTTGTTATCCTCATAACCTTACTCTTTCCTGTATTCACTTTTAATTTTCTTCTTTTGCACACCCTACCAAATTCATCCACCAATCTCTGCAACTTCTCTTCAGAATCTCCCAAGAGCACAGTGTCATCAGCAAAGAGCAACTGTGACAACTCCTACTTTGTGTGATTCTTTATCTTTTAACTCCACGCCTTTTGCCAAGACCCTCGCATTTACTTCTCTTACAACCCCATCTATAAATATATTAAACAACCATGGTGACATCACACATCCTTGTCTAAGGCCTACTTTTACTGGGAAACAATTTCCCTCTTTCCTACATACTCTAACTTGAGCCTCACTATCCTCGTAAAAACTCTTCACTGGTTTCAGTAACCTACCTCCTACACCATACACCTGCAACATCTGCCACATTGCCTCCCTATCCACCCTGTCATACTCCTTTTCCAAATCCATAAATGCCACAAAGACCTCTTTAGCCTTATCTAAATACTGTTCACTTATATGTTTCTTTTTATGTATTTAGTAATTTATACATAAGGGATTACTAGTCCCTTGCTCCTTGCATTTCAGTTGCCTTTTGCGACACGCATCGCTTATGAAGGAAAGATTCTTTTCCACTTCCCTATGGAGATGAAAGGAAATAAATAAGAACAGTAACTATTAAGAAAATAGAAGAAAACTCAGATGGGTGTGTGTACATATATGTGTGTACATGCCTGTGTAGTGTGACTTAAATGTAAGTAGAAGTAGCAAGATGTACCTGTTATCTTGCGTATTTATAAGACAAAGAAAAGACACCAACAGTCCTACCACTGTGCAAAACAATTACAGGTTTCCGTTTCACACTCACTTGGTAGGATTGTAGTACCTCTTCTCAGTTGTCTTTCTTATTGCACAGGTAATCATGTGAGTGTACAGCTGTGTGTGTCTGTGGCTCACCCACGCAGCCTGCCGCAGTGTCACTTTCTGGGCACCTCTCGCCTGACTGCTCCTCTTAACGCTCTTCTCACCGAGAAATATGAAGTAAGGCACAAATTTGAGTTTCATGGACAGATAAAGCCCACATAGGCAAAAAATGAAATAACAAACAGAAAGGATCTGTATTGTTTCAGCCACAATCAGAAGCACTTAAGCAAATCTAGTGAAAAGTGTTTCTGACTGAGGCTGAAATATACATATAATTCCTTTTATTTTCTGTACATGTGGTATTTACCTGTCCATTAATCAATTTTTATGGCATTTATATTGTAATAAATTATCTTGCCATGTGAGGTGCTCCAAGGATGAAGTAAAACAAGTGACATTGTTAAAAAATAAGCCAGAATATATAATTTAGTCTGTATTTTATAAGGCTTTTTTTCTTCAAGAATATTAAATATTCTACTTATTTCATAAACTGAAATACTATAGATATTCTACTTCAAAACTGGAGGTCTGAGTTTTACAATGCTGCAATAAAATATAACTTTGTTTACCAATATCTCTTCCTTGAGTTATACAATGCATTTGGACTTGCTATACTTCCCTTTTAATTTTGTTTTCTCCTAAATATTCTACTGATTTGAATGAAGATTAGTAGGAAATGGCCAATGTGTAAATAATTTTTTTTTTTTCAACAAGTTGGCCGTCTCCCACCGAGGTGTTAAATTTTATTCATTGAAAGTTTCTGGACTAAGGGTATGCTACAATACTTTGGGAGGCAGTAAGAAAGAATGTTTATTATTTTATGCCATTAATTTGAAGCTAAGTTGGAGGATTAACCTTCAGGTAAATAATAGTATAACTAATAATTAATACTAGACTTTCATCACTATAGGATGAAATTTTATTTCCCTAATTGTGATGTTGCCACATTGCCTTAAGTTTTACGTGAAGTAGCATCATGATTGATTAAACTGTTGGTTTCTTATTGTAGGAGTGGGACCCTGACCGTAGCATTGTGAGCAACTTAGAAGCAATCCTTGGTGTGAGTGTGGTAAAATCAAGGAGTGCAGATAGTGAAGGAATGGCCGAGGAGTGGAGTGCTGAATGTGCTGTGTGCTATTCCCTTCACTTGGAAGATGCCTTACCAGACTTGACCTGTGATCACTGCTCTCAGGCCTTCCATGTACAGTGCTTATATGAGGTATGTGTTTACTAGTGATCTTTTTTTTTTTTTTTTTTTTTTTGTTTTTGTTTTTTTAACACACCGACTGTCTCACTGAGACAGGGTGTCAAAAAAAAAAAAAAAGTTTTTCTTTTTACATGTAATAATTTATACAGGAGAAGGGGTTAGCAGCCCCTTGCTCCTGGCATTTTAGTTGATCCTTACATTATGTATGGCTTACAGAGATAGGATTCTTTTCCGTTTTCTTACTTTTTTTTTTTCCCAGTAAATAATAATCAGAAAATAAGCTGACATTAAAAATACCTTATGAGGAAACTTTCTCTATTCATTTATAATTAATACTTTATTAACAAGAGGGTGGATGGACATAAATATTTTTGATGATTTGATATAAAATAATTAACCTTAGACTAATTGACATTTTGCAGTGGTTGTGCAATCTTACCAACAGTCGGCAAAGTATGAACGTCATTTTTGGGGAGTGCCCATACTGCACCCAGGTACTGTACTGTTGTTTTTGTTTGTATACATGGAAACACAAGTTTAATAATTATAGAATACTGAAAACATTATAACATATGCTTAGCATGATTATTTAAAATTTGAATCTAGTTTTGAGTTATCAAATTGTGCATCCATCATTGATTGATTTGTTAGTTTTATGACATCCCATACCTAAACTTTGGGCAGGACTTTTTCTTTATATATACTAACTGGCCATCTCCCACTGAGGTAGGGTGACCCAACAAAGAATGAAACACTTTCACTGTCATTCGTACAGTCACTGTCTTGCCAGAAGGCTGGCTTAGCAAGATTTGAGAACTATATAATAGGTTTAACGAATTTGACCTCAGCATTATTTTTGGCTAATTACTGTATTATTTTTATAATAATTGGGAAGCATGAAACTTGAAAGAGCTGTACAGTACCAGGTTTGATGCAAGGAAGGGGAGGGTAGCTCCACTTTCATAAATCCAAGAGTTTTTAATCATAAAAGCACCTCCCCTAGTGAAGGGCATTATGGCTAATCAGATTAGGGGTAATGAGCTAAATGCATTAGGGGGAAATTAGCTTACTATGTGCTGTCCCTTACTTTTTTCAGTAGAGATGTTTTAGGTCCATGGCAGCTGTACTAAGCTCCATCACATCATCAACACTTCATTCTGTGCAGTTAGAATTTTCATTCCTTTTGCAAACCACACTGATCTCATATGGTGAATGTACATCAAGTATATGGAGTTACTGATAGAAAAAAAATTGCATAATAGTGATTTCACATAAAGTGAATCCACATGATGTGAGGGCAAACCTGTATTTAGTGAAGACTTTTGGCAATTTGAAATTATAGATGAAATATTTGTACATTTCTTGAACATTTATTATAAAATTGTTGCTGAATTCTCAGATTTGTTCACATTCAGTTACAAAATATCATTTGTTGTAGTCTTAATGCATTGCAAGTAATCTAGACCTTTGATTCTTCACATCCCCATATCCTTAGTATTTAACTTAGGCTGTAACATCTTCATCAAACACAAGATAGTCATCCTTGGCTGGGTGTCTGGCCATTGGCGTGTTCAGATCAGTGAATTTACAAACTGCACATTCTGCAGTTCAGGACCTTCATCTCTCTTAGGCAGCTGTGTTTTACAGACAATTTTCTGGTATTAACTCAGCTCTTGTGAGACTGCTGGCAGCATCACCTGTCTTAGTAACCAACAAGTTGCATTTAATCAAACTTAATTAAGCTTCTTTCCAAACACTTTACATTGCTAATTCAAAGAATGGAGTGGGGTTCAAATGACCAGGCCTAAAACTAGGAGGCTGGTGCATTATCAACTCTAGTATGGTAGCCTAGGTGTATTTCTGCATAAGTGGATTTAAACCTGCTCTATTCTACAAGTTGTTGACAACCATGTCATTACGGTTACGTGAGTCTTTTAAACGGCTTTGAAGGAACTTGAGCTAGAGCATACCACAGCAATGTTAGTGTGAGATTCGTCTGTAAAAACCTTCATTTGTGGTCACAGTAGGATCCATGCTAATCTTCCTAGTGTGTATAGAAATATGCATGGCTGGACGAATCATATTAGTCTGGCATGATATAGGGGATAGTGCACTGGTTTTGTCATTTTACAATTGCCATTATGATTTTGGAAGTTGGTCTTCTTTGGTGTTGGTCACCAGACATTCATGGTCATCTCCCCATCTCATCATGGTCATATCTTATCATGGTGCATATCCAGTGGTGTCCAGTGTCATTATGTGGCAATTGTTAGGACATGTTGCAGGTCCACATCTTTAGATTGGTTGCTCCATTCATGAGACACCATGCCAACCTTCTGGTACTCTACTTTAATATCCTGGTTATGGTATTCTGTCCTCCTCCTCCACCAAAAGCCTCAGCTTTAAATCTCGCCTTATCTTATTGACTTTTGAGCGAGACCCATCAATTATACTGACTTCCTTCTCAGGCTCTCTTGCTGACCCTAAACACCTCTGCATCTTCCTTTTTAATTCCCAATAGCAGCTACCAGTTTGCTATGCAGTGCTGAGTAATCTATACAGGCTTAGAGCTTTACTTGGTTATTATTATAATGAAGACCATTGTCTTAAAAGTTTAGATAAGATATTAGTAAGAGAGAAGAACAGAAAGCCTTTAGTTGATTGGTTTTAGAAATTTAATACATTATTTTTTCATATGTTAGGAGCTATGCAATTATCAGATTATACATTTCAATTAGGTAGTAGGTTGGTAGACAGCAACCACCCAGGGAAGTACTACCGTCCTGCCAGATGACTGTGAAACAAAAACCTGTAACTGTTTTGCATGATGGTAGGATTGCTGGTTTCTTTTTCTGTCTCATAAACACGCTAAGATAACAGGGATATCTTGCTACTCCTACTTACACTTTGGTCACACTTCACAGACACGCACATGCATATATATATATACATACATCTAGGTTTTTCTCCTTTTTCTAAATAGCTCTTGTTCTTTTTTATTTCTTCTATTGTCCATGGGGAAGTGGAAAAGAATCTTTCCTCCGTAAGCCATGCGTGTCGTATGAGGCGACTAAAATGGCCGGGAGCAATGGGCTAGTAACCCTTCTCCTGTATACAATTACTAAAAAAGAGAAGAAGAAAAACTTTATAAAACTGGGTTGCTTAAATGTGCGTGGATGTAGTGCGGATGACAAGAAACAGATGATTGCTGATGTTATGAATGAAAAGAAGTTGGATGTCCTGGCCCTAAGCGAAACAAAGCTGAAGGGGGTAGGAGAGTTTCAGTGGGGGGAAATAAATGGGATTAAATCTGGAGTATCTGAGAGAGTTAGAGCAAAGGAAGGGGTAGCAGTAATGTTAAATGATCAGTTATGGAAGGTAGAAAAGAGAATATGAATGTGTAAATTCAAGAATTATGTGGATTAAAGTAAAGGTTGGATGCGAGAAGTGGGTCATAATAACGTTGTATGCACCTGGAGAAGAGAGGAATGCAGAGGAGAGAGAGAGATTTTGGGAGATGTTAAGTGAATGTATAGGAGCCTTTGAACCAAGTGAGAGAGTAATTGTGGTAGGGGACTTGAATGCTAAAGTAGGAGAAACTTTTAGAGAGGGTGTGGTAGGTAAGTTTGGGGTGCCAGGTGTAAATGATAATGGGAGCCCTTTGATTGAACTTTGTATAGAAAGGGGTTTAGTTATAGGTAATACATATTTTAAGAAAAAGAGGATAAATAAGTATACACGATATGATGTAGGGCGAAATGACAGTAGTTTGTTGGATTATGTATTGGTAGATAAAGACTGTTGAGTAGACTTCAGGATGTACATGTTTATAGAGGGGCCACAGATATATCAGATCACTTTCTAGTTGTAGCTACACTGAGAGTAAAAGGTAGATGGGATACAAGGAGAATAGAAGCATCAGGGAAGAGAGAGGTGAAGGTTTATAAACTAAAAGAGGAGGCAGTTAGGGTAAGATAATAAACAGCTATTGGAGGATAGATGGGCTAATGAGAGCATAGGCAATGGGGTCGAAGAGGTATGGGGTAGGTTTAAAAATGTAGTGTTAGAGTGTTCAGCAGAAGTTTGTGGTTACAGGAAAGTGGGTGCAGGAGGGAAGAAGGAGCGATTGGTGGAATGATGATGTAAAGAGAGTAGTAAGGGAGAAAAAGTTAGCATATGAGAAGTTTTTTACAAAGTAGAAGTGATGCAAGGAGGGAAGAGTATATGGAGAAAAAGAGAGAAGTTAAGAGAGTGGTGAAGCAATGTAAAAAGAGAGCAAATGATGAGAGTGGGTGAGATGTTATCAACAAATTTTTTTGAAATAAGAAAAAGTTTTTGGAGTGAGATTAACAAGTTAAGAAAGCCTAGAGAACAAATGGATTGTCAGTTAAAAATAGGAGAGGAGAGTTTATTAAATGGAGAGTTAGAGGTATTGGGAAGATGGAAGGAATATTTTGAGGAATTGTTAAATGTTGATGAAGAAAAGGGAAGCTGTGATTTCGTGTATAGGGCAAGGAGGAATAACATCTTGTAGGGGGTGAGGAAGAGCAGTTGTGAGTTTTGGGGGAGTTCGTGAGGCAGTAGGTAAAATGAAAGGGGGAAGGCAGCCGGGATTGATGGGATAAAGATAGAAATGTTAAAAGCAGGTGGGGATATATTTTTGGAGTGGTTGGTGCAATTATTTAATAAATGTATGGAAGAAGGTAAGGTACCTAGGGTATTGGCAGAGAGCATGCATAGTTCCTTTGTATAAAGGCAAAGGGGATAAAAGAAGTGCAAAAATTATAGGGGGGATAAGTCGTTGAGTGTACCTGGTAAAGTGTATGGTAGAGTTATAATTGAAAGAATTAAGAGTAAGACGGAGAATAGGATAGGGAGATGAACAAGGAGGCTTTAGGAAAGGTAGGGGGGTGTGTGGACCAGGTGTTTACAGTGAAACATATAAGTGAACAGTATTTAGATAAGGCTAAAGAGGTCTTTGTGGCATTTATGGATTTGGAAAAAAGGGGTATGGGCAGGGTGGATAGGGGGGCAATGTGGCAGATGTTGCAAGTGTAGGTTTTAGGAGGTAGGTTACCCGAAAGCAGTTTAAGAGTTTTTACGAGGATTTGTGAGGCTCAAGTTAGAGTATGTAGGAAGAGGGAAATTTTTTCCCAGTAAAAGTAGGCCTTAGACAAGGATGTGTGATGTCACCGTGGTTGTTTAATATATTTATAGATGGGTTGTAAGAGAAGTAAATGCGAGGGTCTTGGCAAGGCGTGGAGTTTAAAAGATAAAGAATCACACAAAAGTGGGAGTTGTCACAGCTGCTCTTTGCTGATGACACTGTGCTCTTGGGGGAAATTTTGAAGAGAAGTTGCAGAGATTGGTGGATGAATTTGGTAGGGTGTGCAAAAGAAGAAAATTAAAGGTGAATACAGGAAAGAGTAAGGTTATGAGGATAACAAAAAGATTAGGTGATGAAAGATTGAATATCAGATTGGAGGGAGAGAGT